TATCAAATTTATCCGTTGGGCATACATCATTAAAAAAATTGCTATTAGGGTACTTCTTTTTGTCTATGTTAGTTATTTCAACTTAAGTTTTGCATAAAATTTGATCATAAAATTTTATATAGTGATAAATAAATGATAATTAACTTTTATTCTTTTTATATGTAATTTTTATTAAGCATTTGTATTTAAATTAATTTTTTAATATTCATTTATTTATTGTATAACATTATTAAATTAATTTACATAAAATTAAAAGACTAGAACAATACAAAAAAAGGATTTTTCTACCATTCTTGGGTTTGTCCAATCTCTGCTTCAAAGTACATTAATTATACTCCTTTTATTAATTTGTATGATAAAGCACATAAATTATATTTATTATTAATGATATGTGCAAAATTTCAATTAAACAATTGACAAAATTAAAATTAATTTTTATTTTTTTAATAACAATTAATAAGAAAAAAAAATCACAATTAACACACTCTTAACTTATATTCCTTAAAGAACACATGATAGAAAAATTCTCTTCAATATTGTTATTTTAAATAATACTTATATATAACATATTAGTATATAAATTGTAATATTTTTTTTATCATATGAAACTAGGAGAGGTACACTTAACAGAGCTATATATAACCCCCAAAAAAAAATTATTATTCATATATATATATGCTATAAACTGCTATATCATTTAAATGTATATGATTTTTTTATATTAATTTTTTAGTATTTAATAATTACATTAAATTTTGATTAATCTGAAATCGAGTCATATCGGATCCCATAAAAAAAAGCTCTTTTATTATTTATCTTTTTATTTATAAGATTTAAATTTAAAATTTTATTTAATAAAAATCATATTTTTTACACTCAAATCAATAAATCAGTAATTTTAAATGTATATGTTAAAAAAGCGAAAAAAAAAGAGAGGTAAAAACAACAGATAAAATGCTTTACTTTGACGTTTTTAGTGGGCACTCGTGCCACGTGTCGAACGGATGTTTCAGGGAAATAGTAAAAAGGACAAATTCTTATTCGACTTGAATTCTCGCTTTATCCTCCGAATAATTCCTTCCAAAGTCGCAAATTCTCACTGAGTTTAACAAAAAGAACAGTTTGAAAAAGAACAGTTTGGCGAAAAGAAAAGGTGTGGTAACGGCCACGAAAATTCGTTAATATTGTCTTAGAAATATTAATATAAGTGGTGTTTTAATTATTAAAAATTAAAAATTAAAAGTTTTAAATTTTAATTATGAATTAAGTGAAGATAAATTTAGAGAAAAAATTAT